GCGCACACACACACACACACACACACACACACACACACACACACACACTCACACACAGAGTAAATGACTTAATTACAGTTTCAAATCAGATGTGAATCAGTTATTTTAAGTATTGTTTCTATCTTTGTGACTGATTTTCCTGCAAAGAGCAGAAGCTGCATACAGTACACGTGCACAAATATATCTCATGAAATCTTTTTTTGAATCCTCGTTTCTTCCCACTCTGCAGCATCTCCTGCAGGTTTTGAATGGGGCGCCTACATGGAGAAGGAGGCGGCTCTCGCTGCTGCCGTTTCCTGCTTCAGACACGTGAGTCTGAGAAGAGTCACTAGAAACTCTGATTTCACTCACAGATCAAATGCAATATATAAATCTACTCTTGCATACATACAGCCTTTTTACCCAAGCATATACACCCTTGTTGTATATTTAACGAAAAACAATACTTTTCAGGTAAACACTAGAAGTTACGGTGCTGACAATAACGCTCTAAATTCCTGTGAAATATATACGATGTGTCAGATTTTTATGAATGGCTATTAGAAATAGAAATAGGTGTGGTTTAGGCAGGCAGGAGGAGGCACATATTATATATAACTATTGTAGTTTGGTTTTAGTGTGACTTTGAAACATCTGTCCAGTGGCTGAAGATACAAAATAGCATCTAACTGGTTTATACAACAATGTTTATTAATATGCTCTGTTAAATAAACAAATGAATAAATAGGAATACATAATGCAAACAGGTGAGGTGAGGCACAAAGTCACACGCTGGCTAGTCATTAGATATTCAGGATTTAAGAATATAAGAGATAAGATAAGAAGTACTTTATTGATCCCAATTTGGGAAATGTTTCACACACACACACACACACACACACACACACACACACACACACACACACACACACACACACACACACACACACACACTCACACTCGTTTATACAAGAAAGTAAAAAATATACATGTTGAATTACAAGTGTACAGTAACAAAATATAAAGCAAGTTATTATACATACATAAGTATCTGAGGCATACAATATTAAATATTACATTGAAATATTTTCCACAAGCCTGGTTTAGCATTGCAGTCTAACAGAAATGAATGAAGCTAACCTCTCCCCCCCCTTTAGGCTCCCCTGTGTGCTCAGTGGGACGACATCTCTCTGGGGATGAAGGTGGAGGTCCTGAACACAAACGCTGTCCTGCCCAGTAAAGTCTACTGGATCGCTTCTGTCATCCAGATCGCAGGTGAGGACATGATTATGAACTTAAGTCTATCCTTCTTACTCCTAATCGATGTTAACGCTTCTCTGTGGAGCTATGATCAACATAAATGGCCTCATGTCAACCCAAATAATAGGTTTGAATTGATCAGGCATATTTGGAAATACAGTAGTGTGAATATTAACAATTTGTATTCAACCTGTATTAGAACCAGGAGTATTTCTCAATAAGATTCAGGATGTCTTTTGAAAAGGAGTGACCAAGACTGCAGCACAAGAGAGGTTTAGACACCCGTACGAATTAAAGCAAAACAAGGAATTAAAACAAAAGCATGCACATTTTAGATATCATTTTTTTGCAAAAGTACACGTGTTACTCATGTTATAGATATTCTTCAAAAGAAAACTAGGGCTGCACAAAATACGTTTGTTTCTTCTAAACCTAATAATGT